GTGTTGAAGTGCCTATTGTTATTTCTCAAGGAATGTGGCCTCAAATTACCACAGATGTCACCAAAAGGAGTCGGCACTATCTTTGAACACCTTCAAAACACTGCACAAACCTGAAATTTACAGTAGAGTTCAGTATATGATTGAAGTAATATTTGCTGTATGGAAGGATGGATTCAAGGACCACCCAGTTATCTTGGAAGGGGATCAGTTCATCCATATGCTTCCTTTGGAGGATGACTATAAACCAGAAGATGTACTTAATATTTTCAAGATGGATCCTAATTTGATAGAGAAAGAAGAAAGGTACAAAGCTATTAAGAAGGAAATACTTGATGAAAGAGACAGTGATTTAAACACAGACCAAGATGCAAGAAGTAGTGAAGAGGAGGAAGGAAAAGATAAAGACAGACAAAAGGTATCAATCTAGTAAACTAGTCTCATTTCGTCATACAGTATATCTTGCTTTTCAATCAAGTTTAGATTTTGAAGAGTATGCTCACAAATTGCTGAAAATGGAATTTCCTGAAAGTCAAACAAAAGAACTCTGCAATATGATACTTCATTGCTGTGCCCAACAAAGGACAAGCAAGAACGTTTTTTGGCTTACTAGCTGGGTGATTCTGCATGCTGAAAAAAATAATACATGGAATCCTTTCGAAATAAATTCAAAGAACATCATGATACCATCCATTACTTAAAAATGAATTGAGGAATGTTTCCAAAATGTTTGTCACCTGTTATACACCAATTCAGTTCCATGGAGTGTTCTTTAGTGTATAAAACTGAGTGAAGAAACCACTGTGTTCTGATGTTTTTTTCTCCACTATTTGATTGGGGTTCTCTGAGTGGGATTACCAAAGGGAGAAGGATCAGCAGCTTCTTGCAAGTTTAAATGTAAAATACTGGAGACTAGAAGACTACTAATTCTTTGGGGACTAGCTAAGCATATGCACTGTTGTACAGTGTTATTGCCACAGCATTTTCAGGTAGAAACAGAACATGGAGGCCTTTTTCCCAGGAAGCAGCTTTAGTCATGGCCACTCTGACCCAGCAGATTCTTATCCAAAGCCTGAGTGCTGAACATGGCTTAGTTGTACCCTTTTATACAATCTTTGAGTCTTTGTCTGCCTTATATGGGCATACACTAATATCTTACATTCCAGTTGGATATACATTAGCATTCTACTGTCTGGTTGGGTATGATTTATATTACAGTTATATAAGAACTACACCTGTGTACACTCAGGCTGATATTGCTACATTATAAAACATTCCTGCCATGACACACTGGGAGGGGCCCTACTACATTATCTCCTAATGTAGTTCATTTCCTGACACTAAGTTCATTCTGGTTTCCAATGCATTATCCAGGTGAGTTCCTCAGTAAAAAGGCTAAACAGAATTTAGAGTGCTTCTTAACACTGTTATTTTCTGCCTCAGGAAGATTAGCTATAAGGAAATACTTCTGAAAAGTCAGTGTGAACCCCAAGCTGGAGCGAATCTTCTGAGTTCTCTCATTCCACAATGGCAGTCCTCTTACAGGAGAGATCTCAAATAGTGATTGATGGTAGAGGAAGAGGGTTATGCCTGGGATGGAAAACTGGGCTGACAAATTATAGATCTTTCTTCAAAATTTAACTTGCAACTGCCAGGTTGACCCTCCCCCAAATAAATATTCCTGCCTACCAGCCTTGAGCTGGGACATTGGGTCTTCCCAGACTCAGCCTCAAACTAAAATGCTGGTGTTAAGAATAAGGTCATACCATTGTCTCTTCTTGGGTCACTAGCTTATAAAATACAGAATTTAGGACATTTCCAGAATCATAGGTACTAATTCTTAATACACTTTTTTCAGTACTATGGGATTGCACCCAAGGGCTTTCATGAATTTATATCACCAGGCCTTTTGTTTGTTTTTTGTTTTTCCCAAGTCAGTTAACCAAGTTGATCAGGATGGGTTTGATCTTGCAGTCCTCTTGCTTCAGCCTCCCAGAGTGCTGAGATTATAGACATGTGCCAACATGATACCACATTACTTAAAAATGAATTGAGGAATGTTTCCAAAATGTTTGTCACCTGTTATACACCAATTCAGTTCCATGGAGTGTTCTTTAGTGTATAAAACTGAGTGAAGAAACCACTGTGTTCTGATGTTTTTTTCTCCACTATTTGATTGGGGTTCTCTGAGTGGGATTACCAAAGGGAGAAGGATCAGCAGCTTCTTGCAAGTTTAAATGTAAAATACTGGAGACTAGAAGACTACTAATTCTTTGGGGACTAGCTAAGCATATGCACTGTTGTACAGTGTTATTGCCACAGCATTTTCAGGTAGAAACAGAACATGGAGGCCTTTTTCCCAGGAAGCAGCTTTAGTCATGGCCACTCTGACCCAGCAGATTCTTATCCAAAGCCTGAGTGCTGAACATGGCTTAGTTGTACCCTTTTATACAATCTTTGAGTCTTTGTCTGCCTTATATGGGCATACACTAATATCTTACATTCCAGTTGGATATACATTAGCATTCTACTGTCTGGTTGGGTATGATTTATATTACAGTTATATAAGAACTACACCTGTGTACACTCAGGCTGATATTGCTACATTATAAAACATTCCTGCCATGACACACTGGGAGGGGCCCTACTACATTATCTCCTAATGTAGTTCATTTCCTGACACTAAGTTCATTCTGGTTTCCAATGCATTATCCAGGTGAGTTCCTCAGTAAAAAGGCTAAACAGAATTTAGAGTGCTTCTTAACACTGTTATTTTCTGCCTCAGGAAGATTAGCTATAAGGAAATACTTCTGAAAAGTCAGTGTGAACCCCAAGCTGGAGCGAATCTTCTGAGTTCTCTCATTCCACAATGGCAGTCCTCTTACAGGAGAGATCTCAAATAGTGATTGATGGTAGAGGAAGAGGGTTATGCCTGGGATGGAAAACTGGGCTGACAAATTATAGATCTTTCTTCAAAATTTAACTTGCAACTGCCAGGTTGACCCTCCCCCAAATAAATATTCCTGCCTACCAGCCTTGAGCTGGGACATTGGGTCTTCCCAGACTCAGCCTCAAACTAAAATGCTGGTGTTAAGAATAAGGTCATACCATTGTCTCTTCTTGGGTCACTAGCTTATAAAATACAGAATTTAGGACATTTCCAGAATCATAGGTACTAATTCTTAATACACTTTTTTCAGTACTATGGGATTGCACCCAAGGGCTTTCATGAATTTATATCACCAGGCCTTTTGTTTGTTTTTTGTTTTTCCCAAGTCAGTTAACCAAGTTGATCAGGATGGGTTTGATCTTGCAGTCCTCTTGCTTCAGCCTCCCAGAGTGCTGAGATTATAGACATGTGCCACTTGTTTGTTATTCTACCCAGTATTTTTATTTAGAAAGTTTGGAAATGATGCATTTTTATTGATTAAAGAAGTCACTCAAAATAACAATATTGTTTATTAATATAATGCAAATAATTTGCATTAGGATTTTGTGTCTATTTAAAGCCCTGAAAATTCTGAAGTATCAAGCCTGGAAAACTGGCATAAAAAATAGGAACTTGGATAGATACAAAGGATTTTTGATGATGACAACTCCTAATAAGCAAAATACAATTAGCAAGAGAAAACATTTCACAATGGTAAAACCATTACTTGTGAAATGTAAGTAAAACACTGTCTTATATCTGAATTTCAGAAAGTTTAATTGGTGGTGCCAGAAACCAAGTGAAAAATGTGAGTAAATGCAATAATGAAAGCATATTTCTATAAGTGATACATTAGCAAAAAAGTCTGCAATAAATTGGTCATCCTGAAATACTTTGGTAAAAACAACTCCATTTCAAAGATACATATTAAATACTACTTCTCCAGTACTGACTAAAAAGCTAGGTTTTCTCACCTAAATTCACCAGACTGAAATTTGGCCCATTAAAAGCAAGAGCAGGGGGAATGGTGGGGGAGAGGAAGAGAAGAAAAAGAAGGAACAAGGAGGAAAAGGAAGACAAGGAAGAAGAAAAAGGATCTAAAAATGCATGTTTAAGGAAAATGAATAGTTTTGTTCTACCATGTAACTGATTTTCACACCAAATGAATAGGAAAAAACTTTCTCCCTCAAGAGTAGCACAATTAACATGAGAGAAAAATTAGAGAATGGAATTCATGGATAGCACACATTGATGATGATTCAATGATGAAGCTGTCTGAAGCATTCTCAATAGAATTCCTAGGAAAGAAAAATGAATGCTGGGCTGGGGATTTCCCTCAGCGGCACCATACCTGCCTCGCAAGTGGAAGGTCCTGAGTTGGATCCCAGGGTATCAGAAAAAAAGAATGCTATCAAAGTTATCCCACCTTCATCCTACCCTGTCAATTCTACGTATGTGACAAAAAATGTAATAGATTAACTAAGAATTTGGAACCTCAGTTCTTTAGGTAGAAGCAAATTGGCCTTGGGAAGTTCCACAAAAGTCTAGAACATCAGATCTTGAGTTACGTAGGTTAGCTCACCGGTGCACTTAATGTTTATTAGCACCTGTGTACAAGGCACAGTGGGGTTGTAAGATTTCATGAACCCGATCAATTGTGGTGGGATCACTAGAGTCAAAAAGTATGGACACAACAATAGTAGGACATCATAAAGTGCAAGCTGACAGAAACTTGCAAATCAAGAGGCCCATTGATTCTAGTAGGTGAGGACAAAATACTCAGGTCCTCTTCCAAAAAACTCTCCCATAGTCTACTATAAACTGAAGTCTGTTCCTATCGCCTTCTAAAATGTAGACAATAATTCACCTCATACAGAATGTATTTTCTGTTTGTCTTTTTTGGTACCGGGGATCGAACTCAGGTCTCTACGCTTGCAAGGCAGGCGATGGAACCACTGAGCTAAATCCCCGGCCCATGTTTTTTTGTTTTTTGAGAGGGTCTCACTATGTACTTGAAACAGACCTGGAACACACTATGTAGCCCAGGCTGGTCTTGAACTCATAGCAATCCTCCTGCCTCAGCCTCCTGAGTGCTGGGATTACAGGCATGCGCCACCACGCCAGGCCAGAATGTATTTTCTAATACATGATGTATATTAGTAAATAAAACCCCAACTCACAAATTCTGTAGCAAGACTCCAGGTAGCTTCAGTTCAGTGACATAAGTACCAACTTTACTATGCATACAGTGGGTCACTGTGATAGAATTTTTTTTTTGCCAACGTGGCTCCTCTGATGTTGAATGAGGTATGAACTTCGGGTGAAGCCTTTTCCACATGCACCACACTGATGGGGCTTCTCACCGGTGTGGATTTTTTGATGTTCAATAAGTCCCATTTTCTGAGTAAAACTTTTCTCGCACTCATTACATTTATAAGACATGGGAATTTCAACATTTTCCCAGTGGCTTTCCATTTTAGCCTGACCTTCACAGGCCTCTCCAAGCCGAAGTTCCTGTTCATTTCTATCACCATGGATCCTCTGGTGTCTCTGGAGATGGGAACTCCGCCTAAAGGCTTTGCCACACATGGTGCACTGGTATGGCTTCTCCCCAGTGTGAATTCTGTGATGTTTAAGGAGGCTACAACTCTGGCTGAAGGTTTTCCCACAGTCCTCACACTTGTAAGGCTTCTCTCCTGTGTGTGTTCTCTGGTGTTTGATAAGGTCTGAGCTATGACTAAAGGCCTTGCCACACTCTTCACATTCATATGGCTTCTCTCCTGTGTGGATTCTCTGGTGAATGACCAGGGCAGAGCTCCTGATGAAGGTCTTCCCACATTCCTCACACTCATAGGGTTTCTCTCCAGTAAGTCCTCACACTTGTAAGGCTTCTCTCCTGTGTGTGTTCTCTGGTGTTTGATAAGGTCTGAGCTATGACTAAAGGCCTTGCCACACTCTTCACATTCATATGGCTTCTCTCCTGTGTGGATTCTCTGGTGAATGACCAGGGCAGAGCTCCTGATGAAGGTCTTCCCACATTCCTCACACTCATAGGGTTTCTCTCCAGTATGGATCCTCCTGTGTGTTTGAGTGGCATTTTTCTGCTTTCTTTGTAACCTGTCTTCCCATTCACCAGCTTCAGCACTAGCAGGAACTTGGGCAGTGTCCTCACCCAGGTGGCAGGGAGTCTGCCCAGGATCTTGTCCTGGATGCTCCTCAGCTGGAGACAAGCCCCTGATCTTAGCCTGTATTTCACCACCTGAAACAACAAAGGCCAACAAAGGTCAATTGTGCCCTGTATGGGAGGAAAGCTCTGTGATGAGCACCAGGGAGACAAGAATTGCAGGGGTCTCTGCATGCCAAGGAGGACTGAAGTGCAGGAAGGAGGATGGGAATAAAAGAGGCTACAGAGTGCTGGGAGGAAGAGACCTGAGAATGGGATGGGGCCAGGGGAGAAGGTACAGGTGGGAATGGAGAGAGTGCCGGGGACACACCACGGTGCTAGTTTGGAGGAGGGGGCTGCTAAGCAATAAGAACAGTAAGGCAGGGCCACACACTGAGATTAGATACTGAAAGGACTCAGCAGGTGGTGGCAGTAAACAGGGCAAGTTGAAGGATTTCTGAAGTATTACATAAGAAATATCTGAGAGTCAGAACTTGGCCAGTGACCAAAGGTTAGGGATTATCTTGGCCTGTGCCTAAGGAGAGGCAGGGTCTCAAACAAAACACCTATTGGGACGGGAAGGCAAGCGGAAGAAATATATACTAAGCAAGCACTCTAATACTGTGCCCCAGCCCCAGCCCAGAAATTAACATTTGTTGTGCATCTTCTCTGAGCCAGATTTGTGCTAGGCTTAGCTGCTTCATCCCACTTACTGACTAGAACACAGCAGGGCACATAAGAAAACAAGATCAGAGGTTTAAGAAGCTGGTAGTTTCAAAAATGGTGGTTCTGTAGCTCTACACAATGGGAACCAACAGTTCTGAAAGGCTGCCAGGGCCAGCAGGTTCTCACTGCAAAGCATGGTGAGACCCCTCAGGAGAACTAGGGCCCCTCAGTCTTACCTAGGGAGCCAGGGTGGCCACAGCTCTGCTGCCTTTCATCTCTGCACAGGTTCACCTGCAAAGGACCTAGCTGTGTCCTCCCAGGGGAAAGAGTCAGGGCCATGTCTTCCATTTTCAGCAACCTCTAAAGCAACAGAAAATGACCAAAGAGATATGGAGTAAGCAGCATCTAGGAAACAGGCAATACTGCAAGCCAGTTATACAACAGGACAAACCCCACTGGCGATTTAGCTCAGTGGTTCTACTGCCTGCCTCACAAGTGCAAAGGTCCCGAGTTTGATCCCTGGTGCAAAAAAAAAACAAAAAACACTGGACAAACCCCATAAGTGTGCACTTCCATGAAGCTGGTGATAAGCAACCTTGGGATAAAAGAGAAAATTCATATCCCCAGGATTGGGGTGGAAGATCCAGGATGCAGGAAGAGGTGGGGTGGGCAGGGCAGTACCTTCACAGGGAATAGTACAGTATTTAGGACATTGGGAAAGGAAGGGGATGCAGCTTACCTGAGACTCTGGAGGGAGCCTGTTAGCTGCCACTGCATCTTCCGTGAAGCTGCCTCCCCGGGCAACTAGTATGAAAAGAAGTCCAGGATGAGATCTGCCCTGGCATCAGCCTCCCTGCCTTGGAGAATCTGAGTTCAAAAACTCGATTATCAATTTTGCCACACAAGTTTATACAGAGTGCTCCTAATGTGCCCAATCCCACCGGCTCAAATCCCTGAGCCCAAAGACATCTATTGTATTCTGCAAAGATGTAAAAACTGCAGAAAGCAGCATACTTGTATGGAGTGGTGAAATGAATTAAAACAAAAAACTGTGCCCTTAGAAGCTCTTGTGAAGTTGCTAGGGAATAGGAGGATTTTTGCTCATTATGTCTTTAGGAGCTGTGAGAGTATATTCTTCCTTGGTTTTGGAAAACTAAAAGAGATCAGTCAATTCTGGACCCAGAAAGGCAGAAATGGGAGTCTGTTTGCGTAGACTCAAGAGAAAAAAGTCAAAATGAACTGTAGGCTTCTTTATAGGAGGCAAACACTAAAAGAAACAGTGACATAGGCTAGAATCTCTGCTGAAAAATGAAGACTGCATGTTGGCTGGGTGTCCCAGTGCCAAGGGTCTCGAGGACTTACATATGTGTTCAGGGGACAGGAGAGGTCACCTGAGGACACAGTCTTTTCTTGCCAAGTGAATATCATGTTATTTTAGTAATAGACCTAAGGTTAGGAGATTTGTGTCATTTAAAATGCAATCATTGTACAATTGTTCAATATTGTGTCTGACATTATAAACTGTGTTTTTTTCTTAGGAGTCACTGCTATCTAAAACTGTGTTACTAATGTCTCTTTAGCATCTTCTGCACAGAGTAGAAGCTCCATGGAGAAGGGTTCTGTCTCACTAGAGGCTCTATCCTCAGTGCTAACCACAACAGTTATAAGGGAGGCGCCACAATTTCATGTCAGAAGAATGGAGAACTAAGCCCATCCAAATCCAAGTTCTGGTGACATTTCATTTAATGTGTCAGGCCTGGTCAGGAAAGCTCTTCACCACTGTGTTACTAATTTCTCTTTTCAGACTCAAAGTAGAGTTGATCAGTGATAAGCACATAAAGTAACATCAGCAGATCTTCCAGACTACCCTTCAGTAAAATTGGGTGAGGCCTGCAGAATGCAGACTGGCCAGGAGAGTATATTCACCTGTGTCTTGTGAGGGCCATGAGTGTAGAGATTCATGCTTGAGCAGAGGCTTCTCTGCCTGGATTTGGCTGCTGTGTGACCACTGGGCCGTTGTCACCAGTTCCACCTTGCAACACAGAAGTCCTTGTCCCTTATCACCTGGGACCTAGAAAATATTCACTTACTTTTATTTATCCATCAAGCTATTTGTAAGCATTTTCTATTGTGTAGGCATTGTCCATAAGAGTTTAGGTATATTAACCCATTCAATTCAGACAGTGCTGTACAATGGTATTATCTGGGTTTGATGTCTGGGAAATTGAGGCTGAGTTTAAGCAGTTTACTCAAGTCACTCAGCTAATAAGTGATAATGTTAACTTGGCAGCTCAGCAAGATAACTAGAGTCCATTCTCTAAACCACTGCATTCCCTTTTTGTACATATTTGTGCTTTTATGAAAACCTTTTGGAAACTGGCAGGAAATTCTAAAAAAAAAAAAACCTCAAATTTTCCTTACCTGAAAAGTGAAGATAACTTACAGGGCTTGGGGAAACTAGTAAATAGGATCAGAGTATGTGAGATTCCCCCAGCCGAGGACCTGGCATATGGGATATCCTTAATACATTCAGGTTTCTGTCTAAAGACATTTATGATTAAATTACACTTTTCAAGAAACTTTCCCAAGTGCAGCTCAGAATTTCCCTCATTATTCATAAAGAACAAGGTTAAGAGATTCAAAATGACTTCATTGTTACAGAATTCAGTGTCATCGATTTGAGAACCCTGGTGTCCTGGTCATTGGTTTGAAGGCCTGGCCCTGTGTTGCTGAGGGAAGGTGCACTAGGACATTGCATGACACAAAGAGGGACTGGGGTCATAAAACAGAAAAGATGGAAGTAACACCAGCTCATTTTTTTACCAGAGGTTCAAAACCAGAGGTTCATGTATTTAGGAAAATAACTAGTCTTATTTTCAACTAATCTCTAAGAAAAATGTAGCATAAGCAGTCCCATGACTTTCTGTCCAAGAGAAACTACATACATTCCCACAGCACTTTATAATGGAGCAGTATCTCCAGAGTCATTCACCTTTATCAGCACTTTCAAACGACCAGCTATTAGCCTTATCCTTAGGTCTTACTATTCAATGCATCGATAAAAAAGCACTTATCTAGCTTTATCAAAGTTGTTTAATACTTTCCTAACAGAAGTTTAATAGGATTATGTTTCTTTGCAATCCTTCATATTTCCCTGTATGTGCATAAAAACAGCATTCTGAGGAGTCCAATCTACTCTCCCTCACTTCCAAAGAGGTCCATGGTACAGAGACACCTACAACTGGATCATAAAGGAATGCTCTCATTGCAACCATGCGGTCTCAGAGAGGCATGAACCACAGCTCTTGATACTAAACCTGTTCTACCTGCAGCGGTGACTCCTCCAGCTGCTCCTCCAAAAACTGCAGTAGCACTGCAGCTTCTTCTCCACTCCCTGGGTGCTGCGCGCACACCCAGGCCTGTAGCTCCTCCGGCAGGATGGCCAGGAACTGCTCCAGCACCAGCAGCTCCAGGATCTGCTCCTTGCTGTGGGTCTTGGGCTGCAGCCACTGATGGCAGAGGTCACGGAGCTGATTTAAGACCTCTTGGGGGCCAGCAGCCTCAGGGTAGCGAAAGGCACGGAAACACAGGCGGGCATGCTCTGGGCCTAGCACATTGTTCTCCTCCACCCAGGCAGAGGCCTCTTCCTCCTCCACCTTCACAACCAGAAGTCCCATTTGGTCCTCTGCAGAGCGGGCATCCAAGGCCGTGCATTCACTCGGTTCCCTAGCCATCATTCGCTGCCAACCTGAGGTGTGAGGGGTGTTTCTGCAGGAGACCAGAAAGGTGAAAAATCATTCTGTCACTAAGCTTATAAACTGCTCCTACTGTGCAGCCCCAGAGCTGGGAGATTTTCCGGGGAGCAGCTGTGCAGATTTCTTCTCCATGTTCAAGTGCCTCTGTGGCATCCTGTTCTGCACTGCCACAAAGCTGTACTTCACCATTAAGTTCCCTCCAAATAGTCCCAAGGTGTGGGTCTAGGCAGCCCCTGCACCCCTAACTCAGACAGTGAAACTGGAAGACCCAGGCTACTTCCTGGACTTTCTAGGAAGCCCCTCTCCACAAATGGCTCTGAGTGATCCTTTGGCTATGTGGTCTCAGGTTGGTCAAATTCAGATATGACCCCAAAGATTTGCTGCCCTGATCTCCAGGACTCGAGTATGATTTAGTATCTTGTCAGACTAACCAGCCTGATCACAAGGAACTTAATTCTACCTCCTACCTCAACGAGGCTCCATCCCACAGCCTCCAGAAAACAGCCCAACACTACTAACATCTTGACCTCAACTTTGGAAAACCAGAAACAACTCAGCTGAGCCTTTCTGGCCTTCTGACCTGCAGAACTTAAAATAATGAGGTTTTGTACAACCTGTAAATGTCTGGTAAATTGTCAGGTAGCAATAGGAAACAATCTTCCCTGTGATCAAGACACCACATTTAGGGTAAAAAGAAAAAAAAAAAAAAAAAAAAAAAAAAAAAAAAAAAAAAAAAAAAAAAAAAAAAAAAAAAAAGATAGGTCCTGTGTCAAAAGAAAAAGAACTAAGTTTTTAAATGCTAGATGCATGCATATGAGGCTTATACAAACAAACAATTGCCTGAACTGACAAATTCAACTAATTGAAAGTAGGGATTCCTTACCAGGGCTGGAAGGGGTTTAGTTTCTCAGAAAAATAAAAAATCAGAACATATCATTAATGCTGACCCTGAAGAGTGCAGAAGCTACTTCTGGTCCTTACCTATGCCTAACCACCTGCTACTCTTCCTTCTTCTTTAAGACCTGCCTCCTTCAAAGAAAGCCCTGCAGACAGGACTCCAGACTTGGTCGCTGGTTCAGCCTTCAACACACTATAGGCAGCAAAACATGAACAAGTCTACCAAGACTTCTGCAGATTTAACTAGATAAAAGAACCTCCACAGTTACTATTTCCATGGCTCTGATGTTGCTGCCCATTTCAGAATCTCACATGTCACTTCTCTCCTGCTTTCCTTCCTTGTTTGGTTTGGTGGTTTTGTAATGCCCATTATAGTCTGGTTAGGGACACAGACACTGAAGCTTGGCTTCCTGGGCTTGTAATCCTGGCTTGGCTACCTACTAGCAGGGAGAGCTTGGTAAATTTCACATCTCTATCCTCACTTCATCTAAAAGAGAGATGGTGACAGTAAATAAGAGTTGTGAGCATTTGGTAAATTTGAGTATAACATTATTAGAATAGCACCTCGAATGTAGTGGGTACTATATTAATACCAGCTAATAGTATAGTACCCTGGCCTTCCTCAATTTTAATTAAGAGTACGCCCTGTGTTCTGTTTAGTCCTTTTTCACTTTTACAAACCTCTCTGCTCGTCCTGAGTCTCCAGTCAAAGGAAAGGTGAGCCTTTGGGAGTTTCAGCATAACCAGTTTGAGGCTTTCCTTTGGGTCAGGCTCTTTGGGGTATATTATTTTTCCCCTCCTAAAATTTAGAAACCATCCGTTACAAAGAGAATGGATGGATGACACTGTAATTCAAAATAAAGTAACACGGCAGTCACTAAGGCTACTTACTGAGAACAATGTGCTGTCACAGTCAATAAAAACAGAAAACCGTTAAACTGTGCTCTGTGTCTGGTACCATTTTAAATGCCTTAAACATAGCAACTCATTTAATCTTTACAACGCTCAGCAAATGAGGTGGTATCGTTCTCCCACTTGCAAAGCAATGAAATAAGGCACAGGGTCGGGAATAGCTCAGTGGTGCCGTGCCTGGCTGGCAAGCGCAAAGTACTGAGTTCGATCCCCGGTACCAGGAAAAAAAAAAAAAAAGGCACAAAAATTAACGGTCTGGCCAAAAAGTCACAGGCAATAACTGCTACAGGCCTTATGCCAACCAAGCGACCAGATTTCAAAGTTCTGGTTCGTGTTCAGTACCACAGATAAAAGGCTGGAACTTACCCAGTGTCCTGGAGAAATAAGTGCACAGTGGCTCCCACTGTCAAGGTTGCCTACATGACCGCTCGCCCAAGAACCCCGACTGAGGGAACAAGGGCGGTCACATGGAGACTCTCGCTCCTTCTAGGGGACCAGGGAACCACCCGCCTCAGGCTCCAATAGACACGGGCCCACATCCGGGTCTCCGACCGAAGGAACCAGCCTGGAAGTCAACTGGCCTCCCAGACCGGCGGCCCCCGCGCGCACACACAGACGCTTCCGGCCGCTCTAGCCTCGCCTCTCGCTGGTTCCGCTCTCCACCCCCGCGTCGAAACCCCAGTTTTCCAGGTCTAGCTAAGGAGACACGTTAAGGGAGGAATTGTGTATTTTGCTACTAAAAGGTAGTAAAAAGAATTTAAATTTTATTTGCTTGTATAAGGACAAAAACCCTGGAAAATATATAAAGAGAATGCTGATGGCATACCTAGAAAATCCAAGACAAATCTACCATCCAAATTACAATTCACAATTACGTTTCCCATCGTCCGCACGAGTTAGAAAATGTACTTTCTAGCTGGGCGTGGTAGTGTGTGTATTCCTGTGATCCCAGCATTCAGGAGGGGGCTGGGGAAGGAGGATCTCCGTGAATTCGAGGCCAGCCTGGGTTACACAGTGAGACCTCGTCTCAGAAAAAAAGAAATTGTTTAAAAAAGATAATTTCAGAAGCAAAGAAATACAGAAGATGCCTTAATGAAAAGATTATAAAGCTTTATATATAAAAATAAACCCTTGAGGGCCGAGGATTTAGCTCAGTGGTTCCACCGCCTGCCTTGCAAGCACAAAGACCTGAGTTCGATCCCCGGTACCAAAAAAACAAAAACAAAAACAAAACAAACAACAACAACAAAAAACCAAAAACCTTGACATATACAATGTATATATGAGAAAATGATATCATGAAGATGTCATTCCTTCTTAAAATGTAAATTAATTGCAACGCTAATTAAAATTCCAATAGTGTGCTCTATGGAACTTAATTGGTCTATGCTAAATTTATATGGAATATGAAAATGATGTTTTTGATCAAATGAAGGAAGTGCAGAAATTTGCCCTAAATGATAAATCCGTAGTAGGCTAGGATGTAACTCAGTAATATAGTGCTTGCCCAGCACGAATGTAGACCTGGGTTCAATCCCTGGTACCAAAAAAGTAAATATATTGTAGTTATGACAATGTAATATTGGCATAGTACAGATAAGGAGGTCATTAAAACTGCATTTAGGACTGAAGAAAAGAATTTGTGGTCAGTGATATTAGATCAGTATAAAATATTCTAATTTTCATCTAATTGGAGCCCTATAGGAAAAGGAAAAAGAGAATGATAGCAAAATTTTGAAGAAACACTAGGTCAAAATTTACCCAAAGCTGGTGAAAAAAAAAAATCCAATCCAAAGAAGTTCAATATATCCTAAGAAGAATAAATATACATAAAATAACACTTAAGCATTTCATGATTAAACTTCACACACTAAAGTGGGTTTTTTTGCTTATTTGTTTGGTTGGTTGGTTTTTTTGAGACAGGGTCCCACTCTGTAGTTGAGAATGACCTGGAACTCACTTGTAGCACAGGCTGGTCTTGAACTCACAGCGATCCTCCTGCCCCAGCCTCCCAAGTGGTGGGATTACAGGCATGCGCCACCACACCCGGCTAAAGTTTTGTTGTTGTTGTTGTTGTTGTTGTTGTTGTTGTTTTTAATCTTGAAGCAACTAGGAAAAAGATGTCCTTTATATATAGATAGATCTATATATGTAAGGGAATAATGATAGGAATTACAGTTGCGGTCTCACCAAAACAGTGGAATTCAGCAAACAGTGAAATGACATATTTAAATACTAAAAGGTTAAAATAATGGTTTCACCCCAGAATCTTTTGGTCTTCTATCTGAATGAACAATCTATTATTAAGTGGATAGCTGAAGTTCTCTCCTATTATTGTGTTGCCATTTCTTCCTTCCCAAAGAAGTCCAAGATTCTCTTTCCCCACAGGGAGGAGTAACAAAGCACAGCATTTTCTCTTAGTGTTTTTTTTGTTGTTGTTGTTGTTGTTTATTTGTTTTTGAGACAGGGTCTCACTATGTAGTTGAGACTGACCTGGAACTCACTATGTAGCCCAGACTGGCCTCCAACTCACAGCGATCCTTCTGCCTCAGCCTCCCGAGTGCTGGGTTTACAGGCGTGTGCCACCATGCCTGGCCTATTTTCTCTTAGTTCTAAACTGTGCCCACTTGCGGGAAAGGCTAACTTACCAGTTATATTTGTGCCTCCACAACATTCCTGTGTGAAAACCCAACTCCCAAGCTTATGTCATTAAGTGGTGCAGCATTTGAAAGGTGATTAGACCATGAGGGGTCCAACCTCATGAATGAAATTGATGCTCTTCTAAAAGAGGCTTGAGGGAACCTGTTTCCCTCTTCCTCTATGAGAGAAGGTATTATAGACATCTAAGTTAGTTAGAAAATATTCTAAGTCAGTTAGGCAGAGCTGGGCCCTCAGCACAGAAGGAAACTGGCTGGAGGCACACTCACTAAGGGCCAGGATGCAAGAAAAAGAGGAACTAGCTTGGCCATACAGTCAACTCAACATTTTAGCTTGGAATTGAAGGCAGTTTTTTATTCCCCATTAGCATCCCCCCACCCCCCCACCAATATCGGGGATCAAATTCATGATCTTGTGCTTGTGAGGCAGGTGCAGTGCCAATGAGCCACTGAGATAAATTCCTGGCCCCTAGGCATCTTTTTAACTTCATTTCTTGTCACACATTTTTTTTTTACCCATACCCCACACTCTGTAGTCAGACACCAGGATTTCTTCCTGTCCTTAGAGACATTTTTCCTTAAATACTTTTGTTTGTGCTATTTGCTTGGTCTGTGGTGTTGGATCCCTTCCCATTGCCTTTCCTCTGCCTACTGATTTCCAGTTTGTTATTTTATCTCAATCAAATGTATGTGCTCTTACGCAGCACTGTTTCAATGCTCTATAGCCAGTCAGAGCATTTTTATTTTTTTTCTTCTGGATATTTAGTTCAAGCCTCTGTAATCTGATATCCTAGCTAGGTTTTTTGTTTGTTTTTTGCTTTTGTGTTTTGGTACTGGGGATCAAACTCAGGACCTTGCACTTGCGAGGCAGGAATGGTGCCACTGAGCACCATGCCTACCCTAGCTAGTTTTGTGTAGCCTGTTCTCCACACATAGCTATCATATATTGACTGTTACCAGGTTTGTTTTGTGTTGTTTTGTTGTGCTAGTGCTGTGGATCAAACCCAGGGCAAGCATTCTACTACTGAGCTGTATCCCCACCAGTCACTATTTTATATCAAGTGGTGCAATAATCAGGGAAAAGTACATAGTATTCAGTGGAATACTTATTCCACAGTTATGTGCTTCCCCTACTCCCTTACATTGGTTATGTGATGCTACAGTAATGTGATATAATAAACAATACCTGAATATATGTGGTCAGAGCTAACCAGGGGGTGGGCAGAGCTTACTTGTATCTGTGCAGTCAGCTGAAGGGTATACACAACTCTTTAGAGATCACAGGCTAGGTGTACTCAGCTGCCAGGCACCTGGCTGCTAGCTGGTCTCGGGTAGTCTTGTATATGCAGTGGAGTGACTTGATTCTGTGCCATGTGTCTCTTACCATCTGAAGACTAGCCTGGGCATGTTCTTCTTCTGGCCCTTTCAGAGGGCAAGGGTAAACAAGCCCAATCACACAGGTACCTCTGAAGTCTCTGCATCACATTTGCTAATATTACATTGGCCAAATCAGTCAACAGTTGAGCCCAAAGTCACAAGAAAAGCACTAAAAAGTACATGGTTAGGAAGGTGAGGAATTGAGGCCATTAGTTTGACATACCCTTTTCTAGTTTCTAGACATATGTAAGTATTTGTATTAGCATAAATGACAACATTTTGTCCACTACTTTACTTACCATTAATACATAATATTCTGTTGTTAGATGAATCCTCCCTCAGAAGATTAAACCATAAACCATTAAATCACCATTTTTCCTTCACCCAGGCTGGCCTATGCCTTCTAAATTCCAGAATGGCTTCAACAGAGGAACAGTATGGAGTTAAAATTGTAGAGTAGAGGAAGATCCTCTCTGGAACCAAGATACCTACCTTCAAGTGAATAGCTTTTCTGGCCAGGAGGCCTCATGCCAACTTTTTAGGTAGTTTTGTTATCAAGAGATTCCTGGTCCCTGAGAAGCTCTGAGCCGGCTCCACAAGCTCTGTCATCAGTAGTTGAGGCCAGAGACCCACAGCAAGGAGCAGAACTGGGATCTGCTGGTGCTGGAGCAGTTCCTTTCCATCCTGCCCAAGGACTTGCAGGCCTGGGTACAAAAGCATCATCCAGAGAGGAGGAAGGAGGCAGTAGTCATGGCTGAAGATCTGGTACAAGACCTTAGTGAGCCTGGGATTCAGGTGAGAAGAGGAATTTGGGTTTCTGTCCATTAAATTTTGGTGACCCAGGTTGGCTGGCTATTAGCTACATGTCTTAATTCTGTGTTGCTACTTAAACAACCCTTAAACCTTAATGGTTTAAAAGCAGCAAGAACATTATATCGCAGTTTTTGTGTTAGGAACTCTGGAGGTATGTAGGAGGACCTGTCATGAGTTTGCAGTGAGGATGTCAGCCAAGACTATAGTAATCTAGTGACTTGTCTGACACTGGTGGATCCACTTCCAAGATGGCTCACCTTATGGCTGTCAGTAGCCTTAGGTGCTCACTAGTTGCTGGTAGGAAGTTTTACTTCTTCACCATTTTGGTCTTTTCTGGGAGCTGTTTATGTATCTTTATGATATATCAGCTGACTATCAGAGGAGAGAAGGAAAAAAAAGCCACAATGCTTTTTATGACACAGACGTTATATACTGTGTTCAGCAGAAGTGAGCCACTAAGTACAACCCACATTCAAGGGCAAGAGAATAAGATTTCACCTTTTAAATATATATAAGAATTGGACTTTTTTGGGGGGGGCTTAAAGCAGCACATCATATTGGGCCACTCTCGCTCTCCCCACTTCTGCTCTTGGGTGTAAAATTAAGCCCTGGTGCTTCTGTTGAGCTATCACTCTAGGAAGTGTTTCTTGTGGGTCCATGTGATCTCTTCCATTAAGTATTAGCTTGGTCCCCTACTTTTATGAATCTGAATGTACCTCCTTCAGGCCTGAACATGGATTTTCAGAGGAGTTCTCATAGGACATGGTACAGGGGAAGGTCAAGCAGGGACCAACAGTCATTAAACTTCATTCCATGGTGACAAAGCTCAAATGTGAATCTTTTGGTTTCCACCAATTTCAAGAATCAGGTAAAGACTTTACAGGTCTATTCAAGAAGTCTGATGGCCTTCTCTAGGACAATAGTTAAGATTGTGGGCTCTGGGGCCAAACAACATTGATTGAAATTTAAGCCCTGCAGGTATCTACCTCATAACAAAGGACAGCTCAGGTTGCTTCATGTGCCTTCAGTTTATGCCTCTATGAAATGGAGATAATCCTGGTACCTCAGTCAGATAATCCATGGAAGATTTATCAGAGTAATATGTGTCAGACATTCATAATGGTGCTGTCTACATCTTTCCTAGGAACCCTGCTTTCTCAGAATGACACCCACCTCCCCCAGCCATTTCAGCAGTGCCAATGACCTTGGTATCCCTACTTAACTCCTTCTGCCAGATTCGTATTTCTAAAGTATTGTGGATCTTACTATTTCTTTCTTACTATTCCTGTCCTGTGATTTTGCTCTTTCATAAAGGAAAAGATGACATTATTTGGCCCATTTGTTATTCCAGGTGGTCAAATGATACCTGAAGGCCAGGTGCTGGCTTCACAGGAAGAAGTCTTAGAAGAAATGGAAGATTTGGGGGCTAGCAGATTCCAAAGAAATGTTCATCTGAATTCTAGGTACAAAGAAACCTGTAAACTTGAGGGTAGAGTAGAAGAGCAGCATTGACGTCTCTATGATGAGAGACATTACAGGTGTAGCAAATGTGGGAAAAGTGTCACCCATAGCTCAGTGCTTTTGCAGCACAAGAATCCACCCTGATGAGAAGCCATATGAATGAAGAGTGTGGGAAAGCCTTCAGCCAGAGGTTGGGCCTGAATAAACATCAGTGGAGTGCCACTGGAGAGAAGCCCTACCAGTGTGAGGAGTGTGGGAAAGCCTTCAGTGCCAGCAGTGGCCTCAGACACTGGAGAATCCACACAGCGAAGAAGCCCTATGAATCAGGAGCATTTGGGAAAGCTTTCCATCTCAACTCACCTTGTACAGCACCAGAGGATCCACAATGGGGAAAAGCACTATAAGAGAGAAGAATATGGCAAGGCCTTCAGCCAGAATGCTGGGCTCTTCCAGCATCTCTGGTGAGAAGCCCTGTGAGTGCTGCTAGTACAATTAGAGCTTTAGCTGGTGGATACTCCTCATGAAACATCAGAGGAGTCACACTAGAGAGAGACCATACAAGTGTGACAAGTGTTAGAAAGCTTCCAGTCACCACTTCACCTTATTCAGCATTTTATTTTTCTTACTGAGTTTATTGGTACTTTATAGGTATCGTTAGGCATTTTAGAATTTATAATGTCAAGAGGCCCTCTGAATGTGACATATGTGGGAAAGCCTTCAGTCACCGCTCTAATCTCATCAGGCATTTTAGAATCCATACTGCTGTTGAACTGGACTAATTGCATCGACTTCCAGGCTGTTCAATGGGGTCATCTTGGAAAGCAGAGTTTTCAAGTGGCCTGGGCTGTTCTTACCAAATGTATTTTGCTTCAGAACAAATAGCTTGTTTACAAACCAGATGTGGTTTCTCCAGGTGTGCTCAGCACCCTCCTCCTTCCCTGTCCTTTGGTTCATTCCTGCTGGTATCCCTTAAGGGACCAAATCTTATTGGGAAGTAATTGGTATAGAGAAGCTGTTTTTGGATGGAATATTAAGCAATTCTAAAAGACTAGAATCTGTGTATACTTTTAAAAGATTAGGTAAGTTCCAAGAATATACACAGGTGAGTCTTTTCTGTAACTTGTATTTTATACACAGTGAAAGCTTTTGGGGATGAAATTATCCACAATGATATAGGAAGCCATCCCTATGATGTGTGGGTGCCACGTGCTTGTAGTGTCAGATGCTGGGGAGGCTGAGGGAGGAAGCTCATTCAAGCCCTGAAGTTCAAGGGCAGCCTGGGCCAAACAGCCTGACCCTGTTTCAAATGAAAAAAAAAAAAGTGACAGCTGAACTCAGGTGCTTTCATTGAAGTGGCATGTTCATTAACCTATCAGCTTTATCTGTGTGGTCTTGACAGTATAGAAGTCTATGTTCCATTTATATAAATTCCAGATTCTCAAGGCAGTCATTTCTATATTTGATTTCCACTTTTGTTATAAGTAAGATATCTTAAAACCTCTATTCTCCACAAAGTACCTCTTTAATTCCTAGCTCTCTGGGAGGTCACAGATGTGACTCTGGGAGGTAGTAACTTTTGTTGTTGTTTGTTTTTTTGTATCAGTGATAGAAGTTGGTTGGGCCGGGGATTAGCTCAGCTGTTCAGTGGCCTGCCTTGCAAGCGCAAGGACCCGAGTTCAATCCCCGGTACCAAAAAAATAAAAAAAAAAAC